AAAAGAAACAGAAATTTAGCCAATTATTTAGTCCATGCCCAATTAAAGCCCCTAGCCCAAACCCCAAAAGATTGCCCTATTCCAGCCCTTTACCAATCCCTAACCTAAGCTTAACTAGCCCTAACACCTACCTAAAACCCTATTCTTTAACCCGATTCCTAGCTCTATCCCAAACCTAACCTCAAACCTAAATACTAACCTTTACCCTAAAATTCTAACCCTAACCCTAACCCTGGCCCTAGCCCTGACCCTAACACTAACCCTAACCCTTACCCCTTACCCTAACCCTAACCCTAACCTATTTCTAACCCTAACCCCAACCCAGAACCCTAACCCAACCCAGAACCCTAACCCCAAACCGAAACCCTAACCTATTTCTAATCCTAACCCTGGCCCTAACCCTAACCCTAACCCTACCCATGGTGATAGCCCTAACCCTAAAAGAACTCAAAAATAACCAAAAAATACAGAAAAAACAAAATGTTACCCAAAAATACAAAAAATAATTTTTTACAAACACATAATTTCATTAAAACTAATTAGCCCACAAATCATAATTTTATTAAAAATCATAATTGCATCAACATTTTCATTAAAACACATTAAAAAAACATTACTCACCTTTCACCTACTCCTCTTCCTTTTCTCCATCCTTCCGGAGCAGCAGCTGCAGCACAGACTGAAAGTTCCGTACCGTAGTCTGTGGGAGGAGCCCAGCCTATAAAGGCGGGCTCCCTGCAGCTGCTGCTCAGACAAGTACTGGATCCCTTGGAGAGCAGACCTCACGTCTCTCTCCCTCCATTTTTTGTGTGCTGACCTGATGAAGCCCTGAAACAGGGCGAAACGTCGTCTGACAGGCACACATTTAGATTAGACAAGAATAAAACAAAACAATTATTATTTTTTTAAAACATTTCTTTATTCATTTTTTCAAAAAAATTACAAAAAAAGTAAATAAATCATAAAATTGAACCAAAAAAACTACAGAAAACTTAAAAAACCCAAAAACAACTTTTTATTTTAAGTATTGTTTTCCATTTTTGGAAAACCCTCCCTCAGTTGTCCGCCCCCCCTTTTTCTCCCCCCCTTCCTTTTAAAAAAAACCATGGCTGACGGTTGGACCCAGGTCCACTACGGCCGCTACAAGCGGCCCCGTCAGCCTCAACGGAACCCTCCGCAGAGGGGACCACCGAGGATGGCCCGTGCCTTATCCCCCGTTTTTCGACGGGGGCCTCAGCCCTCTCACCCTACCCGGCCTGCGCCTCCACGGTGGCCCCCCCGGCGTGACGGTCCGTTGTCCTCACGTGCGTACGAGCAGCAGCCTCCCCGTACGTATGCTATGGCGGCCCGCCAGGGCCTCCCCCTGCGGACCCAATTTGCCCCAAGAGGGCCTCCGCCGAGGGACAGAGATCCCTACCCACCCCCCCGACGGGCCCAATTTGCCCAAAGAGGGCCTCCCCCGAGGGACAGAGAGCCCTACCCACCCCCTGACCCTCAATTTGGCAGAATGGTCCGAAAAATTTATTCAACCATCCAGGCCGTCCACCACATGAACAAGGTTCCCCTGGAGCCGGGGAAACCGGAGCCCCGACGGATTGCCCGAATGGTGGAGCTCTTGGCCGAGCTTATTAAGCCGGCGGCCCCCACTCCACACACTCGGGACCTCATAGTTGGCAACGCCAAAAACTGGGGCCACACTACTTATTTGATCCTCAGGGACCATTATGAGTTGAGCCTCAGAGGGCTCCTCACTGACCTCCCGAACCACCTGACCCAGGACTGGAGGCCAGCCTTTGAGGTGGCGGTCCGCTGGGCTAACAAAAACTTGAACATGGTCACGGAGGAGGAGATCCGAGAAGCGGAGTCCCTCATAGTGACCCGTCTGGCCAATCCTGACGCTGCTGAGGCGCCAAATCCGCCCGAAGCAGCGCCTGAGGACCAGGGCGCGGAGGCCGCAGACCCGCAGGCCCTGCCGGTCCTGGAGCCCGACCCACAGGCCCCACCAGGCCCTGAATCGGGCCCACAGGCCCAGCCGGTCCCGGATCCCGGCCCACAGGCTCCGCCCCCGCCTCAGCCAAGCCACGCTACCTCCGTGGCGACAATGACTGAGATTATGGATCTGGACCCCCCACTGGAGGCCGGCCTTATATTGGCACCCCCTCCATTGGAACGGAGGCAGCCACGAAACCTCCGTGAGCCGGAGCAGGCCCCTCTCCAACCAGATCACGCTGCCTCTGTCACAACGAGGACAGAGCCAGGTGACCTGGACCCTCTACCCGAGGGCTGCCTTATCATGGCACCCCCCCCAATACAGGAGGGGCGGCCACAGGATCTCCCTAGGCCTGGGCAGCCTGGGGAGATCCTACTGGTGGACTTCTCCACTGAGGCCATACAGCCTCACAGTCCTCACCTCTCCCAATCGGAGCACTCCAATCTGGATGCTCTTCTGGAGGAGATACGGGCGGATGAGGAGAGGGAGAAGGAAAAAAGACAGGCTAGGGAGGAGGAAAGGAGGAGGCAGGCTGGTCAGGACCGGGAGTCGGAGGCCTCGTGCCTGGAGGAACCCCTTGGCCACTCCTCCCGCTGCTCGGCCTCTCCAGGTCCGGCCAGGTTCCGCCCCCTCTGTCATGCAAACACAATGAGGAAATTGACTGACTGGGACCTGGAAATTGAGAAAAAGTGGGTTATGTTAGGTGATTCCAATTTGGCCAGGTTCCCTGCTTACAGCTGTGAGGACCTCCAAATTGACAGCTTCCCGGGGGCTCACTTCAGACACGCTCAGGCCCTCATCGATAGGTGTGAGCCGCCTGCTGACCTGGAGGTGGAAAAGGTCATATTGGCCTTCGGCATCAATAGTCGGTCCAACAATGTGCAGGAGACGACTATTAAAAACCTGCAGGCGGCCCTCAGGGCCACGAGGAGGCAGTTCCCATACGCCAGCATATGGATCCCCCTCATCAATTTCTCTCCGGACCTCCCTGAGGGGGAACAAGAGAATCTGATTAGGCTAAATGAGCATATTTTTAAAAATATGCCCTTTATCCCCCTCCTGCCGGACCACCTCTTCCATACCGAGAGGGACGGCATCCATTGGACGGGGGAGACGGCAGCAGCCATGCTGGAACACTGGAGTGCAGCTTTAAACTGAAGACCCCCCTAAGTCTTAACCTAGAGGGGGGACAGTCAGCTGCACTCCAGGAAAAACAGCAGGTGGTGGTGTTAGCCGAGAATCTCGGCCTCACAGGCCCGCAACACAGCCTCCTGGCCAGGGGACTTTCCTTCGTCCCCACCCTGGAACTGGGGAGAGGACAAAAAATTCAATTAAAAAAAGATTTAATTGATTATCACAGAAAATTAAAATTGGCAACATACTTCAAAAATAATAATAAAAAAAACCCATTACCTTTTTCGGCCTCCTCCAGTTGGGCTCCCTCCCTAGGTTTTCTACCTCAGGAGGTAGAGGCCCTGGTGGAGCATGACCTGCAAACATTCACACAACATTATCATCCACACCACGAACACTACAACCTCACAACACAGGAAATACAAGCACTCAGACACCTACAACACAACAAAAACATAGTGATCAAGCCTGCCGACAAAGGGTCGGCAGTTGTCGTAATGGATAGGACACAATACAAATTTGAAGCAGAAAGACAATTGAATGACAAAATTTATTACAAAAAATTGGAAAATCCTATATTTAAAGAAACCATACCGATGGTGGCCAAAATAATTCATAAATTAAAAATTAAAAAATTCATAAATTCTAAACAAGAGAAATATCTAATTGGAAACAAAATACCCCGACAAAGAAAATTCTATATCCTCCCAAAAATCCACAAAGACCCCCAAATTTGGACCGTCCCATTTAAAATCCCACAGGGGAGACCTATAGTCTCCGACTGTGATAGTGAGACCTACTACACAGCGGAGTTCATTGACCACTACCTAACCCCACTGTCGGTCCTACACCCCTCCTACCTGAGAGACACCTACCACTTTGTGGAGCTGGTCCGTGACCTCGTTCTTCCTCCTCGGTGTCTCCTCTTCTCCATGGACGTCACCAACCTTTACACCAACATCCCGATAGAGGAGGGGATCCGGTGTGTGAGCGACATTTTTGAGGCCCACCCGGATCCCAGGCGTCCTGATGAGGAGATATTGGAACTGCTGAGAATCAATCTCACCCGAAACGACTTCATTTTTGATGGCCAGTATTATTTGCAGGTTAAGGGGACAGCTATGGGCAAAAAGTTCGCCCCAGCCTATGCTAATATATACATGGCCATCTGGGAGAAGCTAGCCCTCCAGAAGTGTGCTAAGACACCCAGATGCTACCTCCGATACCTGGATGACATCTGGGGGGTCTGGGAGGGCACACGGGATGAATTCCACCTCTTCGTGGAGACCCTCAATTCCCACGACCCTGCAATCAAATTAAAATTCGAATTAAATGAACACACAATTGATTTTTTGGATACAACACTAATAAAAGGCACAAAATTCACAAACACAGGAAAATTAGATATAAAAGTATTTTTTAAAACCACAGACACACACGCACTACTACACAAACACAGCTTTCACCCCAAACATACATTTAAAGGTATAGTCAAGTCACAGCTATTAAGATTCAAAAAAATATGTACAAACCCCGAGTATTTCTCCGAGGCTGTTGGCGTGCTCTTCAGGGCCCTGAGGAAGAGGGGTTACACAAGGCCCTTCCTCAGGAGCTGTTTGAAAGAATACCACATAATTAAACCCAAAAAACATAATCAAAACATCATCCCCCTGATCACCACATATTCATCAATTAGTAAGGCCCTTAACAACAGATACAAAACACACTTCAAAAGATTCATAACAGACACCAACACACTACCCAATACACAAATTATCTTAGCATACAAAAGAAACAGAAATTTAGCCAATTATTTAGTCCATGCCCAATTAAAGCCCCTAGCCCAAACCCCAAAAGATTGCCCTATTCCAGCCCTTTACCAATCCCTAACCTAAGCTTAACTAGCCCTAACACCTACCTAAAACCCTATTCTTTAACCCGATTCCTAGCTCTATCCCAAACCTAACCTCAAACCTAAATACTAACCTTTACCCTAAAATTCTAACCCTAACCCTAACCCTGGCCCTAGCCCTGACCCTAACACTAACCCTAACCCTTACCCCTTACCCTAACCCTAACCCTAACCTATTTCTAACCCTAACCCCAACCCAGAACCCTAACCCAACCCAGAACCCTAACCCCAAACCGAAACCCTAACCTATTTCTAATCCTAACCCTGGCCCTAACCCTAACCCTAACCCTACCCATGGTGATAGCCCTAACCCTAAAAGAACTCAAAAATAACCAAAAAATACAGAAAAAACAAAATGTTACCCAAAAATACAAAAAATAATTTTTTACAAACACATAATTTCATTAAAACTAATTAGCCCACAAATCATAATTTTATTAAAAATCATAATTGCATCAACATTTTCATTAAAACACATTAAAAAAACATTACTCACCTTTCACCTACTCCTCTTCCTTTTCTCCATCCTTCCGGAGCAGCAGCTGCAGCACAGACTGAAAGTTCCGTACCGTAGTCTGTGGGAGGAGCCCAGCCTATAAAGGCGGGCTCCCTGCAGCTGCTGCTCAGACAAGTACTGGATCCCTTGGAGAGCAGACCTCACGTCTCTCTCCCTCCATTTTTTGTGTGCTGACCTGATGAAGCCCTGAAACAGGGCGAAACGTCGTCTGACAGGCACACATTTAGATTAGACAAGAATAAAACAAAACAATTATTATTTTTTTAAAACATTTCTTTATTCATTTTTTCAAAAAAATTACAAAAAAAGTAAATAAATCATAAAATTGAACCAAAAAAACTACAGAAAACTTAAAAAACCCAAAAACAACTTTTTATTTTAAGTATTGTTTTCCATTTTTGGAAAACCCTCCCTCAGTTGTCCGCCCCCCCTTTTTCTCCCCCCCTTCCTTTTAAAAAAAACCATGGCTGACGGTTGGACCCAGGTCCACTACGGCCGCTACAAGCGGCCCCGTCAGCCTCAACGGAACCCTCCGCAGAGGGGACCACCGAGGATGGCCCGTGCCTTATCCCCCGTTTTTCGACGGGGGCCTCAGCCCTCTCACCCTACCCGGCCTGCGCCTCCACGGTGGCCCCCCCGGCGTGACGGTCCGTTGTCCTCACGTGCGTACGAGCAGCAGCCTCCCCGTACGTATGCTATGGCGGCCCGCCAGGGCCTCCCCCTGCGGACCCAATTTGCCCCAAGAGGGCCTCCGCCGAGGGACAGAGATCCCTACCCACCCCCCCGACGGGCCCAATTTGCCCAAAGAGGGCCTCCCCCGAGGGACAGAGAGCCCTACCCACCCCCTGACCCTCAATTTGGCAGAATGGTCCGAAAAATTTATTCAACCATCCAGGCCGTCCACCACATGAACAAGGTTCCCCTGGAGCCGGGGAAACCGGAGCCCCGACGGATTGCCCGAATGGTGGAGCTCTTGGCCGAGCTTATTAAGCCGGCGGCCCCCACTCCACACACTCGGGACCTCATAGTTGGCAACGCCAAAAACTGGGGCCACACTACTTATTTGATCCTCAGGGACCATTATGAGTTGAGCCTCAGAGGGCTCCTCACTGACCTCCCGAACCACCTGACCCAGGACTGGAGGCCAGCCTTTGAGGTGGCGGTCCGCTGGGCTAACAAAAACTTGAACATGGTCACGGAGGAGGAGATCCGAGAAGCGGAGTCCCTCATAGTGACCCGTCTGGCCAATCCTGACGCTGCTGAGGCGCCAAATCCGCCCGAAGCAGCGCCTGAGGACCAGGGCGCGGAGGCCGCAGACCCGCAGGCCCTGCCGGTCCTGGAGCCCGACCCACAGGCCCCACCAGGCCCTGAATCGGGCCCAC